TGCTTCCTAGAGCCTGAGCAGGTTATCAAGAATAGCAACCTTTTCCTGACTAAAAGCCATACACCAACAAACGACAGGTCCAAACCCGTCAATTGCTTAGATGCTGGTTTTAAGGCATATCGAGCAGTAGTGCACTTGTGACACACCTGCAACAGTGCCTCCCAGTGATGCAGAAGACCTGAACTGTAAGCGTGCACATGAGCTACCTGCAGGGTGAGCAGAATCAAACTCCATAAGTGGTGATAAGCCCCCCATGGCAGAGGAGTACATGGCTACACGGCGGCCAAAAACAAATAACGCAGACCAGAGAACTCCTCATCTGTTAACAGTAAAGGAGTGTGACCATCTGCAACAACCGAGAGGCGTAGGAAGATTGGTTGGAAACTCTTCCACCCCCCAGCGATTCATGTCAGTCCCAAACCTGAATGGGTTAACAGCAGGTTCGGTTGAAGCTGCGAACATTATGCTACCGGAGCCGAATTCGAGGGAGCACTACACCTGTGAAGTGTATCTGCAGGCATAAAGCACTCCATAGCCCATGACTCAGAATGATGCCAGGTAGAGAGGAATGGCGATGGTGGCCAAGAGCTCATAGCTCCTATCCCAAACAAAAGGGACTGGTTCTACGCAACCTTGTCAGTGAGATAGGACCTACCTGAAGAAAATTATCCAGGCTTACCTGACAGCGGTAGGGTTCTCGAGTGGACCCTTGTGAGTCCTTTCCTTATGAGCCTATGTGGGCACTGGCAGCTGAGAGAGGGCTGCAGGCTACTCTGTGAGCCAGCCCATTGATACAGAGGGCTATTTTGTGCCAAATTAACAGCCACCAAGAGGTACTACCCCAGGCAGAAATATAACCGACTAGCAGGGCTAGTGGTGGGAGTTGCAGTCCCCCCCTTTCAAAGGCAAACTAGGGCTGTCAAATGCTGTCAGAAAACCTTTGCCTCGGTACCTAACTGGTTTTGGAAATAGCAGCCATGTGAACAAGCCTTTGATAAATGAGGCCCAATACACCAAACACCCAAGGGTGTTACCCCAGACAGGCAAAGCATGGACATGCAGGGCTAGCAGCAGGAGCTGAAGGGGCCCATTATATCCCCAAAGGGAATCTCAAGCCTTACCATATGTCACTGACACATCTACAGCCTTGGTGTGCAGCTCCCTCCAGAAGTCGCAGCTACATGAGCAGGCGCACGAAGGAGGGTTGGTGTGCCACACTCACACACAGAGGCGCGTCCCATGTCAGGAGGAATCACTGACAGTCAGGGCAGGTGACCGGGGCAACAGGAGATCCTTCTCCTAAGGACAGGGTGTACAGAGCCCTAACTCCTGTGCAGCAGGAGGCCCTTCTCCTAGGGACAGGGCATACAGAGCCCTAACGCCTGTGGGGTCAAACAGCTGTAAGCGCAAGCCCCTTGAACCAAGAGGGCTGTTCGTACCAGCCTCCGAAGAGGCTGTAGCCCACTGAAGTGGGGAGCAAGAGTTAGGAGGCCCTCCTTTCAGGGCTGTCTGCTCACTGCAACAGCTGTAAGAATGAGCCCCTTGAAACAACAAGGCTGTTCTGTGCCAAACTCCGGAGAGGTTGTAGCTTAGGCAAGCTGAGAAGCTATCCTCTTCTATCCTGCTAAGAGAGAAAATTGCAAACAGAAAAAAACAAACCTGTTGCTTTCCAGCCTGGAGGGGTAGTTATAAAGAAGGTAAAAGAGATATTATTTCTTTAAGAGAAAAGCCCTGAGGGCTGAAATGCCGGCTTGTAAAGACTCGACAAAGAACAACTAATGCCGGCTAGTATTGTATCCCCCAAGCAAAAGAAACAACTTGTTACAAGTAAAGAACAAGGGGAGGTGAAGGGAAAGAAAGAAAAAGGCAAGAAAAAGATTTTTTTTCTACTTGCGAAATTCCAATGCAGCTGCTGCTACAGTGACGGTCAGAAAAAGAACTGAAGCACTGGGCCGGAGGCGGAGTTATATAGCCAGGTGTAGGGGAGGTCCCAGCACTAAGTGCTTAAAGCTGTGGAAGTTACGGAAGACTGCTCTGCTCAGCCGCAGATTAACCCATTAGTGTGTATTCACAGAGGACACGAAGGAGAACCAGCTGATATAAGGATCAGAAAAGAAAATGTGTATTATGGGGGATGTCAATGCAATAGTTGATAAACAAAAAGACAACCTCGGTGATAGATGGAAAGGGGAGGAAAAAGAGGAGAAATGTGACTCCCAAGGTTTTTTGTTTTTTTTTTTTGAAATGGCAGAACTCAATTTAATTGATGTATGGAGAACTAAGTACTCTCAGAAAAGAGATTGTACATTTTATTCATATAGACAAAATTCATGGTCAAGAATACACAAATGTTGGATCTCAGCAGAAATTACACATCAAGTGGAAGAAATTATAAAATCCCAGGATACAGAAATGACAATATGGGATGCAGCAAAAGTCTATTTTTGTGATTTTGTGAAAGAGTTTAATGCACAAAGGAAAAGAGAAAGAAATAAACAATATCAAACACTAATAACATCTCTGAAGAAAGAAAAAATGGAAATGTTAAAAACCCTACAGTCAAGTGCCTAAAGAATAAGTATATTGCAACATAAAATCAACTTCTTAAAACAGGAAGAAATGGCAAAACAATTAAATTTGCAAGGCAATTTTTTTGAGTATGCTAATAAACAAGAAAGATGGTTAGCGTACAGAATTTAAAAAGAGAGAGAGAAAACAATGATCAGTGTAATACTGGATAAGCAAGGACGGGAAACATACAGACAAAAGGAAATAGAAAAAATTATTTAAAAAAAATTATACCAACCTTTACAAAAAAAGAATTGAACAGGAGCAACAATTGAACTATTTAGATAAACTCCCGGATTGGAGATTTAGTTCTCAACAATTGGGAAATCTAAATAAATCAATTACGACAAGTGAAATTGTGGAAGCATGGAAAAAACAGAAAAATGGAAAAGCCCCTGGACGAGATGGTCTCCCCAGCTGAATGTTATAAAGCATTAGAAAAAACTCTAAATCCACATTTCAAAAAGCAGATTATATTGAAACTAGACGGAAATTCATGGGGAAAAGTGTGTATTTCCCAATACAGAAAGTAGGGATGGGAAAAAAACAAATTAAGAACTACAGACCAATCTCTCTTTTGAATGTTGATTACAAGATATATGCGATTATCTGGGCAACTAGATTAAAGAAGGTACTTAGGGAAACCACTACATAGATTGCTGCCTTGTCGTGGTGAAGGGACTTGAGTAATTCTGAGAAGCTATGGGCTATGCCATGCAGGGACACCCAAGAAGGACAGGTCATAGTGGAGAGTTCTGACTAAACACAATCCATCTGAAGCAGGAACTGGCAAACCACCTACTGAGCCTTATAATTGGCTTCAGTGATCTCCTGCCTGCTTCCAGAATTCATTCTTCTGTGAGGAAACCCATCTTCAGATTTTTTGAAACAGACCTTAAATATTCAATTGTTTTCTTTCTAAAAGGTAAAGGTTCCCCTTGACAAATTTTGTCCAGTCGTGTTCGACTCATCCCCATTTCCAAGCCATAGAGCCAGCGTTTGTCCGAAGACAATCTTCCGTGCTCACATGGCCAGTGCGACTTAGACACGGAACGCTGTTACCTTCCTACTGAAGTGGTCCATATTTATCTACTTGCATTTGCATGCTTTCGAACCGCTAGGTTGGCAGGAGCTGGGACAAGCGATGGGAGCTCACTCTGTCGCGTGGATTTGATCTTACGACTGCTTGGTCTTCTGACCCTGCAGCACAGGCTTCTGCGGTTTAGCCCGCAGCACCACCACGTCCCTAGTTTCTAATTTCACTTATACTTTATAGGAGATAGAGCAGTGACACATAATGGAGCAATTGCAAAAATAGGCAAATTTTATTTCCATTTCCTTTGCATTAATCTATTTTCTTTCTAGTCAAAAACATGGCAGATTAAAACATGGCAGAATCTTTTCCAAATAATATGTTACTTAGAAATTTTACTTCAAAACTGACTCCTTTTTAAAAAAGTGCTAGAAAACATAATTTTCAGAAATTGAAACACTGAAGAAAGTACAATCTCAGGTGCAATTATTAAATGAACAATAGTGCAGCTGTTCTCATATATAAAACCATCAATCAGTCCTAAATGTTATTTCTAATAGAACCAGCTCAAAGCTGTCACGGTACAATATACCATCTAAGCACTAAGACACCAAACTAAAGTTTTGAGTGAGCTGAAGAATGCCATATTTTACAGCATAGTTAGGAAAACAGCTAGTCAGATACGAGGATTCTTTCTGAATGCAAGTGAAAGAGGAAGTAAAAAGACACACCTTACTCCATATAGTGCCAATGTCAGTCACTTCCCAGCTCCAGGAGTCAAGAACCGAAGACCCCAGGCCACCTCTGACTGCTGTCAACCTGGTGGTGGAAATACAGCAGCTGGAGTTTTAAAAAAAAGATGTCTTAGCTGTTTAGTTTGGCAAGTTCAGATGGGTGGGCCTTGGCTTATTACCCCTCTTCAAATGAGCCTTTGAACAAAACAAGATGCTGAGCATGGCTATAGATCTTCCAAATAGCTCAATTTGGCTTACATTGGGTTATCTATTTCTGACAGCTTGCAGAGCCAGGCTTGTGTAGCTTTAGTAGTAGAACTTCCCTGTGTGTATCTCCATCCCATTCTCCATACCTTTCATTCTCTACCCTTGCAGGAGGGTGTACACTACTTCTGGACAAATGCTCAGTATAATTTCCACACTACCTAGTATCACTGCTGCTCTGCCAGCAGGAAAAGTATGAGAACGCTCAAGAAAGAATCAACAAGGCTGGATTCAGACTGTTGGGTGGCAACAATGTCAGAAACTGGATAGCTGTGCATGGATAGTGTATGTATTCCCACAATCCAAAAATGCCAGTCATTTGCTGAATCATGTGGTTTCCATTGTGGCAGTTCCTTTCTCTTCCTCGGGATGAAGCAGCTAGTGGGGAGCAAGGACAGGTTTCCCAAAGAAATACAGCATCAACTGATAGAGATGATAACTTTGCCTGTAGATTTGCGCTGGGTCACATGTGCAAAGGCTTCATTTACCTGCAAAAAATTCAGAAAAGGAGGTGATAGATATTTGGCAAGGATGCAAGTGCACACTGGTTTCTTCTATGACAGCTAAGCACAGATTATTTAACAAATGCATAAACAGGTCACACTGGCAAATGTTGGCTGCAAAGCATTAATACACAAGGTCTAGTTTCAGGTGTACAGCAGCTAAACAGCTTTTAGAGCAACCAGATTCATTCTGAAGAGCTCTGTAATTTCATGTCCCTTTGGCCTGATGAAGTAATCATGTAAGTAGTCAGCGACCTCATCTATTAAGCTGCAGAAGCCAAAGGCCACCACATCTTCTACCCTATGCCACTGAAATGCATATATGTTAATCAGGTCACTCACGACTCAGAACTTTGTCAGATATGGTATGAAGAAGAAGCTAGAATTGTGTGAAGTCAGAAATAAGTCCCCTCAAACAAGTATCTACAAATAATGTAAGGATTTGAATAACATTCAGTCTCTCAGTTTGTGTGCTTGCTTGTTTTTGCTAAATGAAAATGATTCCAGTAATTAAGGCAATGATTAGGAAGGATACTGAGACACTTATCCAAATGAATAGTGGAAGCAAGATTTGTACTTCATTAATGAGACAGTAACAGGCACTGGGATGCTAATCAGAAACTATTAGTAATAGACTTATCACTGTGAATTACCAACTCTATCAACTGCCTGTATCATTTTCAGTTACAAGCAGTACAAAAACCTGATGGCAAAGCAACAGTTCAGAACACTCTACTAGAAAGAAACTCAATGTTACTATTTTTTCTTTTTCATTCTGCCTTTACTGCAAAAAAATCATACACACAAATATTTTACTTTACACAATTCCTATGGCATACGCTGAGAAGCACAAACCAGCCCACACGCACCATGTGGGCTTTCAAGGCTCAGCACAAATTTGGATACACAACTCCCTGGTCAAGATTCAGCACTATATCCAGTGCACCATTTGTGATGAAACTTAAGATTTGAGGGATCTGTTGCAATTTTCACTAGAACCTTCAGACCTACTAAATGCATCCTGATACAAAATGAAAGCCTAAGCAGTGGAGCCATTTATGAACTGCGCTATCTGACCCATACATAGGGATAACTTACACACCCAAATACAAACCTACTTTTGAAGTACTTCACATCAGCAAGTCCAAAGGTCTAATTTAAACTGGGATGGGGCGTGCTTTTATTGTTGCTACTGTTTAAAAACAACAGGGAGTAAGAAATTATTGCCAATCTTCTGCTGATCATCCAAGTCATCTACCAGCATGTCCCAAGCTACTTTTTGCCCACTCCTGTACTACAGCATGCTATTCCAAGTGACATAAATATACAAAATGTCAAGAAAAACTGCCCCCATGCTGCCTCGGTCTTCCTTTCAATAAAAAAAATGATACAAGAAATAATACTGAAAAGAAATGCTGAATTATGGAACATTTGTCTTTCTACTCTGTACCATTAGCTAATACCAGATCATACTTCAGACTTGTTACCACTGGAGTGGGCAACATGTGGCTCCCAGCACCACTTCTAATTAATTATTTTTTAAACAATACTCAAATATTATTTTTGTGCCCTCTATGGGTCATGGGAACAATTGTAGCATATTTCATGTTGTGATTAGAGATGGGGGTATTCGTATATGAATATGAATCCTGCACAGCTGTACTTAACAAGGGTCCACTCATATGTCCGCCAGCAGCAGCAGCCTTGGTCAACCTTCCAATTGCTCCTGGAGTGCCACTCTCTTTCCACTTATCTAGCCAACTCCAGGCAAAGGGAGGGAAGACAAGTCTCCCTGCATGGCTGCTGAATGGCTAGATAAGTGGAAAAAGAGTGGGAGCAACTGGAAGGCTGACCGAGGATACCGCCACCACTGGACGCATGAATGGACAGTTCAGACCCAGTGGCCAGACCCTCATTAAGTCCAGCTATGCGGAGGTATTCATATACAAATATCCCCATCTCTAGTTGGGATCACCAAACACATTTTTAAAACAAAATTCATATATATGCGCACATATGCTAACATACATAACCTACACACAGCACCACTAGAAAGCACAAGGGGGCTTTTTAAAGTTAAACCCCTGTCAAGATTTGAAATGTATAGTAACTAAGGGGGCTGTAAATAATACAATCCTAAACATGTACATAGGGGACGTGGTGCCGCTGTGGGTTAAACCGCAGAGCCTCTGGGCTGCAAGGTTGAAAGATCAGCAGTTTGAATCCACACGACGGAGTGAGCTCCCATTGCTTGTCCCAGCTCCTGCCAACCTAGCAGTTAGAAAGCATGTAAAAATGTGAGTAAATAAATAGGTACGATCATGGTGGGAAGATAACAACGTTCCATGTCTAGTTGCACTGGCCACGTGACCACGGACAAACACTGGCTCTACGACTCTATGAGCACCGCCCCGTAGAGTCGGACATGACTGGACTTAATTGTCAAGGGGAACCTTTACCTTAAACATGTATATTCTGCTTTAAAAATGAGGTTAGAACAGCAGTTTACTGTGTAGTGACTTTTAGTAATCAGACAGCTCTCCAGCCAAGTTTGAAAGCAAGGTTAATGTAAAACAACATTGCTTGGCAAAATGATCTCTTTCATAGCAGACAGCTGAATGTATAAACAACTGATAAGTAAATGCAAAACACTGGGGAAAAACCCTCCTAGGCCATGAAATATGAAAATGTGTTGATGTTTGCTGATGTAGCATCTTACTGGATCCCTAGCTTACTCCTTTAGTAATTTACACTTGCAGCATATTAGTCATCCCACAGGTAAGGTAAAGGTAAAGGTTGCCCTTGACATTTTAGTCCAGTACTCTAAGGTGCGATGCTCATCTCTGTTTCCAATCCGTAGAGCCAGCGTTTTGTCCAAAGACAGTTTCTGTGGGCATGTGGCCAGCATGACTAGACACAGAACACCGTTACCTTCCCACCGAGGTAGTACCTATTTATTTACTTGCATTTTTACATGCTAGGTCGGCAGGAGCTGGGACGAGCGATGGGAGCTCACTCTGTGGTGTGGATTCAATCTTGGCTATGCGAAGCATGGTCCCGAAATCGCTAAGCGAAAATCGCCCATAGGAAACATCGTTAAACGATGCGGAAAATTCTTTAAAAAAAACCCATCGCTAAGCAAATACATCGTTAAACGAGGCACCACTGTATCAACACAGATACTAGGAATGAGACATCAAAGAGCAGGAACATATCGCAGCACAGCAGGTAGCAGAACCTCAGAACAGATATGGGCAACGTGAGTTTCCCTCCATAGGTTCAAATTGGCTTGACTGGGTGAGCATTTGGAATATTTTTCATTTATGTCTAGTAATATACTTAAAGGCTAAAGACTGCTTAAAGCTATAACTTTTTTTTAACTTTCTAATGATGTGTTTTAGAGATGTAGTCTCTGTTCTTGGATTATGTCTTTTTATGCTATAAACTCTTGCATTTTTAGGATGTAATTAAAGCATTTTTAGGATGTCATTAAAGCACCCAGAAAATGAGACCACGGATAAAACAAAGGTTCTGGTGGCCAGGGATGGATAAAGATATCACAGACTATTGTCTAACGTGTCCAGAATGTCAAAAGACACAAGCCAAACCAGGACCAGGAGCAGAAATAATCCCAGTGCCCATGGTGGATCAGCCCTTCCAGAGGGTAGGAACAGATATTGTGGGACCATTGTTATGGTCAGCTGGGGGACACACCCACATCTTGGTTATCATAGATTATGCCACACGCTATCCAGGAGCTATCCGATTAAGGTCTACCATAGCCAAAGTATTAGCAAGGGAGTTAATGCAGGTATTCTCCCGGCTAGGTTTCCCCAAAGAAGTCCTGACTGACCAAGGCACAAATTTTATGAGTCAGACTTTTAAGGAGATGTGGCGCTTGCTGGAAGTGAAACCAGTTCATACTTCAGTTTATAACCCCCAAACAAATGGGGTAGTGGAAAGGTTTAATAAAACACTGAAAAGTATGTTAAGGAAGTTAGAGATGGAAAAACCACGGAGGTGGCATCTATTGGTAGCACCCTTAATGTCTGCAATCAGGAAGGTACCACAAATATCCACTGGCTTCTCTTCATTTGAAATGATTTATGGGTAGAACCCTAGGGGAATCTTACATCTCGTGAGAGACGTGGAAGAGTGGGAAGGATGAAGATCAGATAGTGGTGCAACAAGTGATAGAGATGCATGAAAGGTAGCAAGAATAGCCAGGGAAAATTTGCTGAGAGTACAAGGACAGAAGAGGAGATATGACGCAAGAGTTAAACCCAGACAGTTTGTACCAGGTGTTACTACTGATGCCAGCTGAGAATGCCAAGTTGTTTGCTAGGTGGCAGGGTCTGTACGAGGTCCCCCAGAAAGTAGGACCAGTAGATTATGAAATTTCAATGCCTGATAAGAAAAAGAAGGGGCCTTTCATGTGAACCTCTTAAAGGAATGGAAAGAACGGGAGCCTTTATGGGGAGAGATTGGAGAGGAGAGTTTTGGCCCTGAAACAAAGAGCTGCCTACAAAAGGACCTCAAGATAGTCATTAGCGAGGAGCTAGAAGAAACACAACAAGTGAAAGAGATAGAGCAGGAATTCCAAAATGTGTTTTCTGGTTTACCAGGGTACATGACTCTGATTGAACATCCAAACCAAACGTTACCCCAGGTGGTGGTACGGTCAGGGAGGAGGAATTGGCCTCATCATTTAAAAGAGACAATAAATGAAGAGATTGAGATGTTAGAGTTAGGGGTGATAGAAACATCACATAACCCTTGGCAGAGTTATCCAGTAGTGGTACCAAAAGTGGATGGTAACATAAGGCTGTGTATAGACTTCAGAAGATTGAATGAAGTTTCTAAGTTTGATGCATATCCTATGCCTAAGATTGAAGGAAAGGCTGAGTATTTACCATCCTAGGACCTCACAAAGGGTTACCCAAGGAAGGAAGACAATGAAAAGACCACCTTTGTCACTCCCAAGG